TTCAACAGCACACTGACTCATGCTCTGCTTCAGCCAACCACACATCCATCCCATCCGCTCAGCTCAGCATCACCCCGCATCGTCACAAAGCACTTCATAATCGCACTTCTTTGCTGCTGCCCACCTCACGCATCCCTCAGTGCCTGCATGCAACCCAGTGGCACTTCATTCCAAAGACGATGACGCACCCATGACTAGCCGGTGACCCTAAACACTTCCAATCGGCATCAGCCAGCATACACGCTGCACTTCCAAGCATCACACCGCCAGCATCACTGGCAGCACGCATTGGAGAGCGGTCACCATGCCACCCGTTCCTTTGACCAGCGTCAGGCTGCCTCAACCAAGCCAAGCGCAAAGCCAGGCAGAGGAGAAGCATGCGAGTGGAATCGCTCAAGGGGCCGTAAAGCAAGGGCCAGCAAGGGGTGGTGGTGAGGAGGAGAGAGATGCTGCCGTGGAGCCTCAAGAAAAGGTGAGCAGAGTCCCTGCGACGCCCGCGCGGGTGAGGCGGTGCAGACAGATGCCTCGGGGCGGTTCCGTCGCTGACCTAAGCCCTGTCCACACCACACCTCGGCTGGAATGAAGAGCGTCAAACAAAAATCATTGTGTCAGCAGATGGGCGCTCTCTTTCTTCAGCATCGTGTGCGTCAGCTAGAAGGGCAGGTGGATGATTTGCAGTACAGTCGAAGCGCTTCATCTTCGGCCCCCGCCACAACTCCCTCGCTCGGCAAAGAGGCAGACACGCGGGGAGGTGAAGGGCGTAGCAGCTCTGCGTCCATCAAAGAGCCTGTACGCAGCAGTCGCGGCGATCGATTCTCAACGCAACCTCAAAATGCGCACTTTGATCATTCACGTCGCGCCAGTGTCAAGACGTACATTTTGGACGCAAGCGTGCTCATCTACTCGCTAAGGAGCGTACATGATTGGCTCAAGGCGCCCGACGTGCGCTGCATTGTGCCGACAGAAGGTGCGTGGTTGGATCAAGCGATGCCGCTCTTCCCGCTCGACTTACGATTCCATGCGCTGCCTCACAGTCGTTTCCACTTTGGACATCCTGAAGAAAGGCCAACACCCCTTGAATGCAGCCGCTCGCAAGGCCACCCGATTTCTCGAAGACAGGTTTGCGTCACCAGCGCCTGATGGGTCAATGCCTAGCGCGGGCCTAGTACCGCAAGCCACAGCACCGTCTTCCATCACTTTGGACGAAGCCGAACTGCTGCGCGAAGCATGTGCGGAGGCCGATCAGCATCCGTCACCTCTTCAGCGCACGGGAAACCACGTCAAATCCGATATGCTGGTACCAAATGTCACTTCGAGCGGCGCAACTCGCAGATCTTTCGACTCTAGCAAGAGCAAGGGTAGCTCAGCCGGCACTCCTACTGTCCGCTCTCCCACGTTTGACTCTTCAGGAGGTCCAGCTACAAGACGTCGCAGTCGAGGCCAAAATCGATCGCCTCGCTTTGATCCCATGCAGCTCACGGCTGGGTCTACCTTGTCTCTGTTCGACGCACCAGTGTGGATACGCGCGACGCTCTTATGCGCGTTGAGCTTCTTGCCTGGAGACGCTCAGTTGACTGTGGCGCTACCTCCACCTTCGCTCGCTACAGTCACAACTTCACCTCAGCACAGCGCCGCAGCCAACAGTGAGCTGCCAAAGCATGTCGAAAGAGCAGATGGAGGTATCACGCAAGCGTACGCCCAAGCACACGGACTGGATGCGCACATCTGCTCCACCTCTGCCAGCTGGCTCCAGCTGGAGCCCGCAGGCATGCAAAGTCCGGTGGACGTCGAAGTTGCGGTCAAGGGGGAGAGTCAGGTCTCAGCGCCGGACTCGGACCAGACACTTCACCCTGCCGACGACTTTCCTGCACCTGCTTTGGGACTCGACTTGGGCAAGGCTCCCATTCTCAGCAAGGGAGGGTATGCTCAAGCTGCGCAAAATCCCCACACGGGAGTGCGTAGACGATGAGATATCTGCGCGGAATCCCGCCTCTACATCGCAGCGGACGTTGGATCGTTGATTGTTTTTGATTCGCCATGTATTCTTCATCTTTGCTCCTCTCATCATGATACCCAATGCATCCGCAGCTGTAAACTGGCAATGTGGGCCATGTTCTGCGCCCCCTTCAAATGGCTCGTGCTTGTCGCACCGCACTGGACTCCGCCCGACTGCGGACAAAGAATGGCAGGTGGCTGGCAGAAAGCAGGGTTTATAATGTGTGAATCACTTGGAAGTCTCTTTTCAACGCGGTCTCAAAGAAGCCGCTAGATCAAGTCGTAGCTGGAAATTGCCCGCAAGGCCAGTGATGTATCTAGGTGGAGGCACGCGCCAATGACATTGCCTTTGAGTGGCCGCCCTGCTTTGCTGTGATCCCCTGCCCTTTTCTGCCAACAAGTACCCATACACAATGTGACGACTGCACCTGCACTTAAATCAGGGTAACCTAATTGCGCAGGAGGAGAGGCGTATAATACAACTTTTTGAAGGCATGGTCTTGCCCTTGGGCTTGCAGAGTCAAGAGAACAGACACGAGATTTCAGCGCTGATCATTTGCAATCTTGAGCGTGCGTGCCTACCCAAGGGCAGCATTGTGAATGTCAATTTCCACGCAGAATCGAGTGGCTTGGCATGGCCACAATTGGACAAGGAGCAGGACTGGCGCTTGATGAAGAGTAAGACAAGGGCAGCGCATTTCTCACAGCGTTGTGCAATGCCATCAAGAGCCTTGAGTGTGGCTATCGCAGGGACTGTCGACGCTGCTGCGGCTGCTGTAGCTGCTGTTGGCCCTACAGCGGCTGCTGGAACCCCCCGATGGGGTCTGCGCTGGCACTTGGGTTGCCCTTGCCACGCCTGGATTTGGGAAGAGATGGGCACCTGGCTGGCCAGCCTCGTGAAGGTACGGGTGGGCGAGTCCCGTCGAGAGAAGGTTTTGCCTTGCTGATCGTTCTGTGTCGATTGTTCAAGCTTGCAATGCGCAATTTCAAAAAGATCAGCAACGAAGATCGTCAAAATCAAGCATTCGAAATGAGATTGCGAGTACGTGATATTTGCATGGATATCTCGGATCTGGCATTTCACCACGCCATGGAAAGAGCTGCATGGGGTGCAGCTCAAAGTCAAGGTGTTCTGGTCTCACCCTTTCTACAAATGAAATTGACGAGTCTGGAATCAAAGAGTCGCGAGCCTCGAGTCTTGAATTCGAGTTCTGAGTCAGAGTGAAGGTCAAGGAGGACAACTAGGGTTCACGTGATGCGGGCGCGTCTCCGCTCGCAAACGGAGCGGCGCAAAGAATTTTGAATTTTGAATTTGAATGTGAATGTTGTGACGGATCTCGACGAGCTGATGAATTAGGTTGCTTGCAGCAGCGACCTGCTGCATCAGCGCTCTCGCTCCCACCTCCGTTTGTAGCTTCCCCTCTTGAATGTAGGTAGCGCAGGAGCACATATTTGTCGAGCACGGCCTTCACAATCCATCATCACACCTCTATGCAACTGGCATCGCGCACGATTCATGCGCTCGTCGACTACAAGACACAAGAATGTCTTTCAACTTCGACATTGCAAACGAAGAGTTGGATGAAGAGTATGCGGACTTTGCTTCCGCACAAGCTGATCACGCGGCCGATGAGCCGCTCGACGGGGATGGCAGAGCAGCAGAGCCAGCATCAAGCGTCAAAGGTAGGGAGCACACGCTGGATGAATTGGTGAGTCGTTGGTGAAGCGCACTTGTAAAGATGCATCTGGACTGTGCTCAATCAGCAGTGTCCGATCGCTCATCCGCACAGATCGATGCTCTACCAGCAAGAATATCGTACTCGACGTTGCAGATACCTTTGGATGCACAGAAAGGCGCAAAACAAGCGCGCGACGAGGACAAACGGAGATGGACAATTGTGGCCAGGAGAGATCTCTTCGATGCTAGATTTCAGATGATATACGCCAGCGACGATGAGGAAGAGGCAGATGGAGAGTCGAGGAACGGCAGCGCAGTCCCCGAGGGCCACGAAGCGGGTCTAGTCGAGGCCGATAGCGATCTTGTGCCTGGCGTCTACGAGGGTGAGTGCGTAGGAGGGGGGGCGGTGTGGGTACCTGGCCAGATTGCATTGGGCACCATGGCGCCACGCACAAGGCGCATACATGCTGGATTGCTGTATCGCTTCCCACGCATCAGAGACCTCACGTCAATATCCTTTTCGGATAGGTGGACTCAAGACTTGGGAGTGCTCGCTGGACCTCATCGCTGCGCTTGACGCGCATGACCGCCGCGACGATGGCGAGTCTTCGGACACAGTTCCGTTTCACTGGCTCGGGGGTCTCAGCGTCGTAGAGGTGAGCGATGCGCCAGCGCTGTGCACTCGTGGCGGGCTAGTGAGGCTTATCAACACCGTCGTCGCTGTTTAGCTTGGATGCGGAACAGCGATACCCGCGTGCTTCCTGCTGGCACGGCTGATGTGTGTCGAGATCGACGATGCTCGTCAGGAGACGATCTTGCAGCTGTGCGACTTCAACGAGCAAGTGCTGAAGCTGGTGAGTCAATGCGGGTGACTAGATGAAGGAGACGCGCGCAGCTGAGTCGCAGTACGACACCACAGGTCACCCTTCCAAACTTGATCTTGGCGTGGTACACCAGTCCAGCGTCCTCTGCATTTCGCGCCTCTGTTGCGGGTGCATCAGGCGAGTCGGAGGGCATTGAGCTCGACCTGGTCCCCGCTACCGGCGAGGTTGATCTCTCCGACGAATTGCTGGCAGCCTTCAAGGAGTCTCTAAAACATCGCAAGGTCGCACTCAGGTTCTTTAGCGGGCCTTGGAAGGATCTAGAAACCTGTTCACGCGCAACCTCGAGCCAGATGGCGCCATCCAGGGCACCACAGCTTCTAGAGGCCGACTTGCTCTTGTCTTCGGAAACGATTTACAGTCCTCCTGATCAGACTGCTCTGCTTGACATTCTACAGCGCCTTTGCAAGGCTTCGTCGACCCACAATGCCTCTGTGCGAGCCTTGTCGGAAAAGTTGCAGACTTCGGGCCTGCAAGAGTCGAGTGCCCTGGATCATTCTGGACTTCACGTTGCAGCCCAGCCGTTGACTCCGAGGAGGAATGCAGAAGTCCTAGGAACATTGGCTCTCATTTCTGCTAAAGTGCTCTACTTTGGCGTTGGTGGAGGTGTACACGCTTTTCGCCAGTCGATCGAGAAGGCAGGCGGTTGGTCCCACGAGGTGCGCAAAGTCACCAGTGGAGTGGGCCGATGTGTGCTGAGCATCGGCTGGTCTGCAGACAATTGAAAATCGTTTAACTACCAAGGGATGTGACTGGCTGCACTCTTGCCTACCACTAATAGCAGCGAGAAAGAAGCCTCGCGCGATGCTTCACGTTGGCGTCCCTCGTCTGCGCTAGACTGTAATCGAGGGCGCGCCAGTCTCGCCGGCTCATGGCGACCCATCGCCTTACCACGGATCTGTATGCGCCCATCACGCTCACCTCTTGCCAGATCAAGGTTTCGAGATCAAGGTTTCGGGCGTGCGTCGCTGGTCAGAAACTTTACAGCATGGAGGTGACAACACCAGCCACGCTCGCCGCAATGGTTTACCTATACAGTAGCCTGCTTCAGAATGAGCGCTCAAACCCACCCTCCAACGCCAGCGGCGTAAAGCGCTAATTGCGCCGAGGGAAACTGGCTGAGCGGGAGTCGGCCAAAACCAGGGCCAATACATGCATCGGGCGGTGTCTTTTGACTTTCTTTTGCCTCCCGATCACCATCGCAGAAATTGCTTGCCACATGCGCACACAGATGGCGGCCACTCGGTCTGCTGCTCCCTATCAACCACTCCTGGGTACGCTTGCGTTGCGCACGGCACCACGATCTCGACGCCTAACCGTTGGACCCGCGAATTCACGCGGTTGCATCCGCTCAGGCACGCACTTGGTTCCTGATCAGGTTGCCACGCTTCCTTTAACTCCATACTTTGCAAATCTTGGATGCAGACTCGATATCCGCCTGGACCTTGCGTCCAGCATCCGCCCCTGACGCCAAGCACGCTGCCGCCCGGTGTTCCAAGGTAAGCGGAGTGGCAAGTGGGGACGCCAGCGATGATGAGATCCGGCCGACGCTGGCTTGCGATTGTACAGGCACGCAGTGCATCTGCAAGGATGCTTCTGCAGCTCGCAATCTCGCTGCAAAAGAAGGTTCCGACTCGACGTCTATAAAGATGGCGTGCAAACTCCCAGCTCGACTCATTTCTCTTCACTCATCATCAACTTCATCCAAGCGATTCATCTCTACGAATTGACCGGCCTCAATTCACGAGCAACCTTGAAGAACGACTGGTCTCGTTCCGCGCCAACACAGCCGTCTTTAAGCGCCAATACCGTCGACACCCTGATCGAGCTGGCCTCTACCGGCGTCGACTACATCAAACCTACGCCCGCTCTGCAGCGCATTGCATTGGCATCTGATAGCATCATATAGTAAATCATAGCAAAGTTCAGTTCTTGTATTCTGAACCAGCCGCATTAGATCTCAAAGACTACATAATTTCACTTCACAAACCGTGGACAGCAGCCAAGATGAAGTTTCAGTCCTCGATCTTGACCGCTTTCGTGCTGGCCACGTTCACCGCGCATGGTCTGCCTATTACTCCCAGCCGCTCACACGTCGTTGCCAATGAAGTGGTGCAGGTGAGTCTGAGGTGGAGCCAAAGTCGTGCGTGCGAGCTACCGCTAACTCTAGACGCTCGTTCCAAACAGGCTCGGGAGGTCGGCGACGACGAGAGAACGACGCTTGTAGCTCGAGACGATCATGCGTCCAGCGGCGGAAGCACAACCTCTGTAACCTTGAGCAAGCAGAAGACTCAGACCGGCGCCGCCAAAACTACTATGGCCAGCTCAGGAGTCTCGGGTGATGGCCCAAACCTCATTCACTTCAAGCGTCGTGATGTAGAAGACAGCACTGTCGACACGCGCGAGCCCGTCGGCGAAGACGCACTGGAAAGCGACGGGGTCACAAGTTTAAGAGCTCGCTCAAATACGTGGACATCTCCCACGACTCGTGGCATGCTCGGCAAGCTCGACCGTCGCGGCATCGGTTCTACTATCGTGGAGGGCGTGGAGCACCTTGGCGGCAGCGGTGCCAAGACTGTCGAAGCGGAAAATGCCGGTCGCGGTGCCGGTACACGTACTGATACTGGTACTGGTACTGGCACCCATACCACTGAGCACACCTACAATCCTCATGGGCAGTTCTCGGAGCCTGTGGGCAGGCCGCAAGGAAGCACCACCCAGACCAACAATCCGTTCAGAGTCAAGGAGGAAGAGCTGACGACGCGACCTGGTAGAACTGGAACCGAGGCCAACCAGCCGCTGACTCAGCCGAAGAAAGAGCAGCCTGCTACTCCTGTTCGTACCACTGAGCCTGGTAAAGAGCCTGTAAAGACCAACGACATTCACGAGCCAGGGAAGACCACCGACACTCTGCCCAAGACGCCAGCAACTCCAGTCGAGACTAAGCCCAAGACGCCAGCAACTCCAGTCGAGACTAAGCCCAAGACGCCAACAACTCCAGTCGAGACTGAGCATAATCTCGCTGAGCCAGTCAAGACCCAGCCCACGACCAAGGAGCCGGTAAAGACGAATGGAGGGGCGGGTGAGCATCCAGCAGTAGACCCGCATACCAAAGTGCCCGTCAAGACGAACGGCGGGGCCGGTGAGCACCCGGCCGTTGATCCCCACACTAAGCAGCCAGTCAAGACCAATGGCGGCAGCACCGCGCATCCCGGCGTCGTTCCGCACCCCAAGACTCCCGTCAAAAGTGGCGACCCTCAGGCCAAACCGGCGGCGAAGCACTCGATGGCTGAAGAGATGGCGAAGTGGGACAAGCCGAGCAAGCAGCAGCTGACTGCTCAACAGAGAGCCAGTTATGAAGCGCGGATCGCCAAATCAAACGCCGATGCGAAGCGGTGGACTGAGAAGAGCACTTTCAACGCGAACAAAGAGCACGAGTGGCAGCACAAGATGCACTTAGCCCAATACCATCAAAGGGAATCTCAACTCGAAGCTGAACACTATAATCATCTCGTGCATTACAGCGACGGACTGGCTAAGAAGAAGGTTGCAGGCACGGCCACACCCGCATCTCGTCAGCACGTCGTTCCCGAGAAGACCCAGCCGGGTGAAGTAAAGCCAGTTGCTCATCACACCGATAAGACTCAGCCGGGCGGTGTGAAGCCCATGGCGCATGAGCCAACGACGAAGGAGAAGACCCAGCCTGGCGGTGTGAAGCCACTCACGCACAACCCCTCGACCACGGAAAAGACTCAGCCTGGCGAAGTGAAGCCGGTGGCGCATCACCCAGCGACGCGCGAGCCGTCGACAACGGAGAAGACGCAGACCGGAGGAGTGGCGCCAGTCGTCCACCACCCCTCGACGACGGAGAAGACTCAGCCTGGCAACGTCAAGCCAGAGACTCGCGAGCCTGGTACGACTGTCAACAGCAAGCCTGCAGGTACGGAGCACACCAGCGCTGCGGGCACTGGAGCTGAGCACCCAGGCGCAAACGGCGCCATCAACAAGGCGCCCGCAGAGAAAGAGCCCAATCCGAAGCCCAACGGAGCCTAGACGCGTCGAGCGTCTAGAGCGCAATCGAACGTCTGGGGAACGCTGATAGGCAAGCTATTCTTCCTCGACACTGGTGTGCGGTGGTGCACGCTTCGCGAGGCCACCGAGGGCTCTTGGCCAATCCACCGAGCACACTCATCTGTTGATGTACCTCGTCACGTATCCACAGGCAGACCATTCAATTGTTGTCCAGCTTTGAGCGTGCGTTTCAGTCATGTATGCAGCGTGAGGCGTCGACGAGCGCGTTGCTCGATT